TCCATCCATCCATCCATCCATCCATCCATCCATCCATCCATCCATCCTGCATGTTTAGAGGATTCTCTGCTCCAACACACCTGATATGAATAAATAGGTGATTAACAGGCATCTGCAGAACTTGAAGAGGTAACTCAACCATTGAATCTGGTGTGTTGGAGCAGGGAAACCTGTAAAACATGCAAGCTAGTGACCACTGAGGACAAGGATTATTTGACACCTCTGCTGTAGACACTTGGCTCTGCACTCTCTGTATTTTGGGGTATCTAAGAGAAAACTTCAAGCCCTATAGCAGTGAGGAAGACACTCGGTGAAAGATGACAAAAATGTGTATATTTTGAGGTATAATTTGTAGATATGTCCCATAAAAGTAGTGGGTGTCAGAAAAAAATTGTTTGCAAAAAATCTGAATATTTTAGACAGCTCTAAATGTGACGTCAACTGTTAGTTGAACATTTGGTAGAAAAGTCTTTAAAAAGCTTAAAACTAAAACTGTGATTGTGGAAACTCCATGAAAGGGATCAAAATACCAGTTCAGACACATGAAGTCCAACTTTCTGTGACTTGAATAAACTGAATGATGTTTCTACAGTTAATTATGTCTGAGATGTAGAGGGCTGTGTCTTCTCATCTGTTTCACCATCAATTTCATTGAACTCTATAAATTTTTTTTTTTTTTTTGCAGCTTTTGTCTACATTAAACATGCATTGCTATCAACAATCAGCACACTGTTCCAGCTGCATGATTAAGAGAATAACTTTCATGTTTTATTTTAAAGGTGCATCATGAGATACAAGACAAAAGTTTATAAAAGAACAATAAAAAGAGTGCTCGAGTTCTCCGGCACCCTCATTGAGTGGATGACTGTGAGGTTACCTCATCACACGGAGCTATCCTGTGGATGATGTCTTTCAGGAGGCCGACCATCTTCTCGTCCCTGAAATCCATCGGGAATGTCTCTGTCCATTCTGTGAGCAGCTGCAGGATCTTAGGACCAAACTTGCGAACTTTAGCCTGTTGTTCAACAAACCAACACAAAGAAATTAACAACTCCTTGCACTCACAAAAAAATAAAAAAATAAAAGATTGCTTATGCACAGAATATGAGTATGACTGAATGTTTTTATGATCGTTGTCTGGGTTGTGCACACGTGTATTTGTGTGTGGCGCAGTGCTGACCGTGTCCAGCGGGCTCTGATCCAGCTGCTGCTGCTTGATGCACAGCTCACACACCCTGGCGAGCAGCTCCGGAGGAGGAATGAAGAGACGGGCGCTCAGCAAGAAGGTAAACACGTAGGCTTTCTGTCAAAAGGTCAGAAGCAGACGTTTAATCACACATCCCCATTGCATCTACAAACCCAACGCTAAAGACCCGAGGCCAGTGATGGAACTGGGAGAAGTGACGCTGCAAATTTAAACCTAAATGGACTTTCTGAGGCTGACAGCTTGAAACAGCTGCAGCAGTTTTAACACTCTTATGATTATTTTCCCCATAAAACACAAATGTGTAAAACTTTTATCTTTTCATGATCGCCTGGAAAAAGACCAAAAACGCAGACAAACTGACAAGGAGACATCACTGAGCACTGGTAGAACAGATGGTGTGAAAAGAAGAAAAAGACTGTGTTATGACACTTGACAAGTGATACTTCAGTGAAAGTACAAGTATATTACCATAAAATTAAGTTGGTAAAAGTTAAAGTCTACTTTAAAAAGTATTACATGAGTAAAAGTCTTAAAAAGTGTCTGACATTTAATGTACTTAAGTATCAAAAGTAAATGTCTCATAAAATGTACTTAAAGTAAGAGTATTAAGTAAAAGTGAATGGTTAGAAAATACAAAAAAAAAAAAACGTTTATTGGGTGCAATATTCAGTGACAAAAGCTTGGATAGTTTGAACTGAACAATGAAAGATTGCTCTTTAAAAAGTCTGATTCTAATTAAGTAAATTCATTCAACCTTTATTAACCTTTATTAAACTTTATTAACCTTTATTAACAAAGCTGTTAGACAGCCCACATTGTTGTGTAGTTGGCTTATTTACTGAGCTAGGTTCTGTTTGGTTATGGCTTGTTTCTTTCTGATTTTAATAGTTCCTATGCTCTTGAATGCACCATGGCTGTCCAACGCCATTGAACGCACCGCTCTGTGTAAAGTGCAGAGCTCAGTAGCAGGTTCTTTTTTTTATCTCTCCCGACACAGATGGAGCCTTGTTGTTCAAGCTTGTTTTTGCTTTACTGGTTTACTGCTGTGTGTAAATACCAGAAGAAACACAGCAAATAAATCACCCTAAACTGAATATCTGTCTCCGTGTTCTTTAATGGGAAGACTAGTGGCCTGACAACTTCATCTTGTTGCTCTAACCAGTTAACATCCCGGAGAACACCAAACCTCTCATTTTTAGCAGCTACTGTCATTTTCACATCTATTAGGAATTTACAGTAGCTATGTTTACATGGACATAAGTAATCGGATTAAACGGCCGTTCAGAGTAAAAATGCGTCATGTAAACGCCCCATTCGGGTTATTCTTTGTTTATTCAGCGCGATCTGAAAGAATTTGTGATCAGAACGAAACGGGTGGTTTACGCCGATTCATAACCCGAACGGTGTCCATGTAAACGCTTGATCTGTTCATTTTTTTCCTGATCGTGAAAAACTGACCTGACTGCGCATGTGCGACTTTGTCATTTCCACCTGGCTAATGCTAATAATATTAGCATGTCGGGGAAGCAAAACTTGTCGGTGAGCGACACATTTCTACTAGAAACTTTGAAAGAGCTCAAAATGATCTGTATCACCTGTAGGGAGTGCAGTAACAACTCCACCGTCATTAAAACCTGTCGCAGGTCCATTTTGGGTGCTCAGGTTTGTTTACATTCATCCCGGAAGTAAACAGGAAGTACAACTTCTTCTTCGGTGTTTTTTTTTTTTAAGGAGAGTTTACCACTCTGTGCATGTCAGTACTTCTGTTCAGAACAAAGCCCAATCGCATGTAAACGCTCGTCATGAACGGATTGCGCCCATGTAAACGATACATTTGAATTATTTAATCTGAAAACATTTCAATCCGGTCAAAGAATTTTGTGCATGTAAACATAGCTAGTGTCTCCACTGTGAGTCAACAAAGACCTACTGTAACGATTGATATCTGTAAATGCATCTAGCTTGTTCACAGTGGGAACCGCAGTTTCCACAGAAGCAGTGGGGGAGGGGCTGGGTTTGTGATGAGAGTGTCAGTGAGGGAGAGAAGAGGCCGCATGAAGTCACAGGCTGGGAGAACAAACAGGCATTGCCCAATCAGATTTCTTCTCATTTTAAATCATAGGAACAAGTAACTAAGATGGTTAAGGGCAATGTATCAAAGTACACATTTTATTGTGGAAATTTAGTGGAGTAAAAGTGAAAGTCACTAGAAATGTAAATGATGAAGTAAAGTAAATATACGTCAAAATTCTACTTAAGTACAAAACAACACTGCACCCTGCACATGGAACTGTTATCTGTTAGTTTCTGTGTTACAGGAAGATCAAACGGAGTTCACCTGTGTCACCTGTCAGGCATGCACGTGACGTCATCAGCTCAACTGTTGCCAGGCAACAAATACAACACTCCATTCTTCTAATGTCCGACTCTAGAGATTTCAGTCATACCTCAATTTTAACTAAACTTTCCAGAAGTTTGTCGCCTGACTCTGACCTGTTTCCCTTTTTTGTCAGTTTTTTTTGTTATTAGTCTTGAATAATTGAAATTTCAACCATATCATTTCTTTTCAGGGCTTATCATTAATGTTCAGTCCAGTTCGTTTACCTCGGGGTAGTAGTCTGCAGTGGGCACCAGGTTCTGGATCAGGGTGTCCAGGGAGGCAGAGGTGATCGGGGGCACGTCGGCCAGGCAAGCCCCAGGCTCCGGACCTTCCTGCGGGGCCTCCTCTTCCTCCTCCCCCCCAGGCTCAGCGCAGGCCAGATGAGGGCTGAAGCCACTGGGAGTGGTGAACATGGTGCCTGAGCACACAGTCTGGGGCATTCCTGACCACAACAACACACAGAAAAACGCTGTGAGCCAGACAGAACGAGGAAGAGGAATTAAATCTATTTGTTTTGGGGGAAATGAGTTGAATGCAAATGTTCCTGTTCGAGCTCTTCACATGTACTCTCTTATTAACAGCCATGAGCAGTAAATAAAGCACTGTTTATTACTGTTAAACCACCATGCTGGTTCAGATTGGCTCAGCGGTTCCTCCAAAAGAGTAAACACGATGACTGAAGATGAACTTCATTTCATGCTTTACTGAACACCAAGCTCAGCTCTTTGAGGAAAATAATGTCTGATGAGCTCTTGTGTTACATGTAGCTCTGTCACAATTATTACACAACCACCTGATTGTAAATCCTTAATATGGCAGGAAAAACTTGCCCAATTGATGATTATTTTGTTAACAAGAGTAAAAGAGCTGAATAACACAAATAATGAATCATATTTTCATGCTCTCTGTGATGATATAGATGCATTGACATTTTTCTAGTGGATTTACCGTACGTGCTGTGAGCAAATAAATGTTGCCATCCACATCCCTTCCATCTCATTTTTTCTGCCTTTTCTTAATCTATGATTTGCTTTACAGTAGTCACTCACTACTTTGCGGTTCATTTGTTGCGGACTCACTGTATCGTGGTTTTTCAAAATAAAATTGGACATGACACGATGGATGAGCCACACGATTGGCATGGAATGTTTATTTAAAATAAATTATTTTAAATTATTTAGCACCTGCTGCACCTGTGTGCAGCCCACAGCGGAAGGAGAAGCTTCTTCCTGCAGCTGATCAGCTGATCTCCATGCAGAGCAGAGAAGTGGGCATGGCTGAGAGCGCTGGCAGATGGCAGAGTGCAGCCGGAGGCAGAGAGCTGAAATCATGACATTCTGTACTATTTTAGAGCGTTTAGAGCAGGGCTATTCAACAAAACGGTTCAAGGGGCTACAGTTTCTGAAAGCCAACAGCTCGGGGGCCAGACATCCAGCGATTAAAATCATTTTGTAAATAAACCAAAGTTTACAATGATCTGTTACCTTTCAAATGTGTTTATTTTATTGCATTGAATCATAAATGCAATAAACAGAACCCAAAACCCAAACCTAGAACCAAAAAAAAAAAATTAATGAAGTGGGCCGGATTGAAGTCACCCACTGGCCGGAAATGGCCTGCGGGCCGCCAGTTGAATAGCCATGGTTTAGAGTTTAGAAACATTATTTTGATTATTACAAGCATGTGGGAAGGGTTTAAAACA